CTCCCCGTGTGCTTCTCGCGTCCCACCCGTATCCCCCCTTGTCCCCTCCATGTCCCCACACCCACCGTGTCCCCCTGTGTGTCCCCGTATCCCCCCTGTGCCCCTCGTGGCACGGAGCAGTGTCCCAGCCTGGGGGCAGGGCGAGGGGACGAGCAGCTCTCCCTGTCCTTTGGAGAGCTCCGTGTGCCCACCCTGGTGCTGCCCAGGGCTGGCTGTGGGGCTGGCACGGCCCTTCCCACCGCTCTGCCCTTTGGATGTCAGCTTTATTCATGGGGTGCTTTCCATTCTCCCCAGAGCGGCCTTGAACCCCAAGGACAGAGACAGGGAGGATCTTCCTCATCGTCCTTCCCTAAACTTCGTAGTTCTCTTTCTCTGGGGGAGGGACGAGGGGCTGTGGAACTGCTGTGGAATGCCAAGGGATTAAACACCTCCACTCCGTACCCTGGGCCTGCCTGCCTCTGGCTCCGGAGGCCACGGGAGAACCTGAGACCCCTGTGGGGACCTGAGATCATGGAATGGTTTGGGTGGGAAGGGACCTTAAAGATCATCTCCTGATGTTCCACCCTCTGCCACAGCAGGGACACCTTCTGAGGTTGCTCCAAGCCTCATCCAACCTGGCCTTGGACACTTCCAAGGATCCAGGGCAGCCACAGCTTCTCTGGGTACCCTGGCTCTAAGACTCTACCCTGCCCAGCACATGGAACCAACCCCTCTGTGACATCAGCCCTGGGCCAGGGGCACTGTGGGTGCTGTGGGCACAACGCTGGAGGTGACCCCTCGCTCCTGGCACTGCCCCGTGCGCTGCCACCGATGGCTTGGCTGTGGCTCCTGGTCCTGCTGGCCCTGGCCGGGCCCGTGGGTGGCACCTGGGACACCTGCGGGTCAGTGGGCCCGGGATGTGGGGGGAGCTCGAGAACACGCGGGGGGTTCCCAGCACAACGGGGGCACAGACGTGCCCTGGGGGGGCCCTGGCCCTGCTGCCCCTCGGGGCACTGTGGGGGGGGACAATGGGGGAACCTTCATCCTGAGCAACCCCTGAGCAGGGCAGTGCTGGTTTGTGCTTGCAGAGGGACCTGCGGGCTCCGGCCCATGGCTGCCGACCACAACTCCCTGCTGCCCGACTACGGCCCCGCGGCCTTGGCCGACGGCACCTCTCGCCTCACGGGGGGCACCGGGGTCCAGCCGGGGGCCTGGCCTGGCATCGCCAGCATCCAGGCCACCTGGAAGAACGGCACGTGGCACATGTGCTCGGGTGTCCTCCTCAGCTCCCAGTGGGTCCTCACGGTCGCCCACTGCTTCTTTGGGGCCGGGTAAGGAGAGGCAGGGACAGGGATGTCCCCACAGCTCGGGCAGGTGCCCAGGTCACAGCACCACGTGCTGCTCCAGTCCTGGCTCTTTCCTCTCTGCTTCCCTCTCTGCCTTGGGAAGCAGAAGGCTGGGAAGCTGCCACAGGCTATGCCTCTGCTCCCTCTCATCCCTCTCTCCATCTGTCCCTCAGAGACTTCTACCGGTGGGATGTGGTGATCGGGGCCATGGATCTGACTCAGCCGGGCCCCGAGGCCGAGGTGAGGCACATCCAGAGGCTCCTGCTGCACCAGCACTATGTGGCTGCCACGGCAAGGAATGACATTGCCCTGCTGGAGCTGGACCAGCCCGTGCAGTGCAGTGACTACATCCAGCTGGGCTGTGTGCCCGATGCCTCACTGAGGGTCTCGGAGCTCAAATCCTGCTACATCGCCGGATGGAATT